ACCCAAGGGCGCTGACTTCCATCCACCCCAGGCGTCTTTCTTCCAGCCCCCTGCCTCCCTCTCCTGTCTGCACCTGGTGGCCTGTTCTGTCTGTCCCTCCAGAGTGCTGGGTGCCCGCAGGCTCCCTCCAGGCTGAGTTCATGGCCCTCCTGCCCCCTAGTGGCCACAGCCGGCTTCACAGGATAAGACCAGCTAAGCTCCAGGGGCTTTCCGGGAACAGTGTCCCTTGGAAAGGGTGGGGCGTTTTCACTGCTCCCAACAGCACCCCAGAAATGGCTTGGTCTTTCCCCTCCCCTCAGCTCCACAGAGAACACAGTCCACAGAGGACACATTCCCTGTCATCCAGAAATGGGTTTGACTCTCAGCTGAGGGACAGCAGGACTGGTAGAGACCATCAGGCCACAGGGCTGCCTGCACAGCACCGCCATGCTTGCCAGGGGTGGGAGGGATGGCGGGGCCTGAGTGACAGGGAGGCTCACTGGAGGTGGCGCACTTTGAAGGGACAGTGTCAGGGGACAGCTTTCTCTTGTTGGGCCTTACGACTCCACCACAAGGACAGCACGGTGACTGATTCCCAGTTCCAGAGGTGAGGTGGTCAGCCACGTGTAGGTGTGTATATATATGTGAGTATTTACAGATATTTCTAGAACAGGGCAGGGGCATGCCGCCCTGGGGCTGCTCGCCTGTGAGCAGCTTGCCCAGCCCCCGGTTGAAACCCCTTCCAACCGCCACATGCCCTGTCCAGCCACCTGGGCTGTGGGGAACTGGTCTCAGGGGAGTGTGGGATGGGAGGGGCCTGTCTCCAGTGCGACCCTTGGTCTTGCGCTGCAGAAAGGCAGAAAGCCTTCCTCCAGCCCTTATTGCCTGGTACTGTGAGTGGGAGGGAGCCTGGAGCATTCCAGGGTCCAGCCTCTGACTCCAAAGCCTCAGGGATCAGGAAGCCCCTGGTAAGCTGTGGCCATAGCCATGACCTTGAGCTGGCTAGGGCCAGAGAGGGCTGGCTGGGGTCCCTGCCACTCTGACACCAGGCAGTGGACAGGTTGCCCCACCTTGCCCCAGTGTCCCCTGGCAGCCCGACACCCAGCCTGAGCCCCTCACCCTGGCTTCCCCGCAGTGCCCTCGGGGAGGGCACTCAGCACCAAAGTGTCCTCTGCACCAGTGACACTGGTGTCCCCTGTGACGAGGCCCAGCAGCCAGCCCGCCAAGTCACCGGCTCTCTGCCACCCTGTCCGAGGCCCCTGGACTCACTGGACCCTGAAGGCTCAGGCAGCGGCTCCTCCAGCCACGAGCTCTTCATGAGGCTGACTTCATCCCATGCCACCTGGCCCCATGCCCTTCAGCCTCCTCAGCACCCAGGCCAGCCAGCATGGGCAACACCAGTGAGGAGGCAGCCCTGGAGACCGTGGGGATCGTGTTTGTGGATGACAATTTCATCAACTTCCTCGAGGACCTGTCCTATCGGCCTTTGAAGAGCACTATCTAGACCTGGCGGGGACAGGGGATGGGACGCCCCACCACACGGCCGTCCTGCTGCGCCCTCCACGGGTAGCCCAGTGCCTGCCACAGAGCCTCCTGCAGCCACAGAGGAGGGAGCACTGGGACCTTGGTCCCCTAGCCCTTGGCCCAGCGAGACCAGCTGCTCCCCACCCCCACCCTCAGAGCTGACCCCTGGGAACTCTGGTCAATTTCCTGCCCGAGAAAGACGCCCCTATAGGGGCTCCAGACCTTGGGCTCCCCAGCCTGCCCTGGCCCAGGGTTTCTGTTGATGGCATGCAGATGCCTGCTGCCCCTGGAAGCCAAAATGACTTCCCAGTTGGCAAGGACAGCCAGCGCCAGCTGCCCCCTCCATGGTGGACAGGACCAATGAGGTTTCCAAGGATGAGGAACCCGGGGGCCACAGAGCCCCCCATCTGCCCCAAGACCCAGCCCCATGTTGCCCCCTTTGTCCTGTTGGCAGCACCCACTCCTCTCCTGGTCCTGACGTGGTGGAGCTGTGGACAGGAGGGACTGTGGCCTGGAAGCCAGCTCTGGAGGGTGGCCTGGGACCTGCAGACAGTGAGCTGTGGCCCACTGTGGGGGCGGCTCCTCCCTTCCCCCTCCTACTCCCATAGCACCTCCACCAGAGATGGAGGGCAGGGACAGTCCCCCAGAGCCGGGGACTCCCAACTTCTCAACCCGAGGACCAGGCTCCTGGGACCTGCAGACTGTGGCAATGTGGGGGGCCTTTCTCCCCACAACCCTGACTGGCCTCAGGCACACGCCTGAGTCTGAGCCTGAGCCTGCCCCGAGCCCGTGACCCAAGGGCCAGCCTGAGTCCCTCAGCGGTGAGGTGCCCCTGAGCTCTGGGCTACTGTCCATGCCAGCTTGGGACAACCCCGCCAACAGCCGCAGAGCCCCTGAGACCCAGCCCCTGGCCCCCAGCCTGGCTGAGGCACGGCCCCCGCACCTGTACAGGTCCCCAGTCCGGAAACTGGAGCCAGGGGCTGAGTGGGTGGGGAGTTTGTGTCGGGTGGGACCTTGGTGACGGTTTCGTCACCTGAAAATGAGCAGAGTGCGACGGGGCAGGGGTTCCCAGGATTGGAGAACTGATGGCTGGGTAGGCGGAGGTGCCATGAGGTGGGAGGAGCACTGCTCCAGCCCAGTCCTGCCACGCTCCCCAGGACCCTGGGGCCAGTCTGCCCAGCAGGACTGTTTCCCATCTGAGCGGTGGAGCTGGGGTGGGGGGACCCCGGGCGCATTTCTGAGCAGCACAGGAGGCCTCAGGGAAGGCAGGGGTGGGCACACTCTGGCAGCATGCCCCAGGACGGAGCTCACTCAGCTGTGCAGTGGGGAGGGTCCCTGCATGGCCACCAGGCCCAGTCCTGCCCGGCAGGCAGCAAGATTCCCTGAGGCTCAGCCTGGCCTCTCCAGGCTGGGCTCAGCCCACTGTCACCTGGCTGTGTTCTCAGTGGCCCCACCCTCCTTGGCAGGCAACACAGGCCCTTTGTTCCTTGTAGGCAGGGACAGTTGGTTGCTGGGGGGGTTGACTTTTTATTCTCTTTCTGGGATGTGGGTGGAAGAGTCTGTTTCGCAATAATGAAACTGAGGCCAAGAAGAAGGCCCTGTCTTACTGAGGTCATGCTGGCCTAGGTGGTTAGTTCCTGGCTGTGGGGGCGTGGCGGGGATGGGGTCTGCCTGGCTTTCACGGGTCCATGCCCCGCATTGCTCTACCACCTGTGGCCCAGGTGCCGTCTGGAGGCCAGTGCGCTGTAGCTCCTGATGGGATAAGGACTGCGCCCCTGCTGGCTGGCCCCAGCCTGCCCGACGCTGCCACCTGCAGCCCTGTGCCACCTGGCACTCGGGCACCTGCAGAAGGGTGCATGAGAAAGGAGCCAGGGCAGGGAGCCCCAGGGCACAGGGCAGAGCCCTGGGTAACCAGGGCCTGTGTTCCGAGAGCAGCAGCAGGGCAGGGCAGGGCTCCGGGCTGCACATCTGGGCGCCCAGTCACACGGGATTCTGAGTCTCTTGGGAGCCTTTATCTTGGTCTGGCTTGGCCTCTTTTCCTCTGTATTTCTGACCCCATCTGGACTTGTCTTTCACCAGCTTGCCTTTGTTCCTCGATTTCTTGGTCTGTCCCCGCCCATGGCAGCCCCTGGCCGGGCACCTTTTGCCTGGGGCCTGCCAGCCTTGGCCTCTCGCTGGGGCTCTTCAGGGATTTGCCCCAGGCTGGAGCGTGGGCCTGATGGCTTCCCTGCCACACGCCTCACGGGGTCACACGTGTGGGCCTGCACGTGGGGGGTGTCCACATGCGTCTCTCCGTCCCCAGTACTCCCGCAGCTGCAGTGGAGGCTCCTCAGTGCGGGACGTGCAGTGTTCGGACACACGGGACCTCCGGCCGCTGCGACCCTTCCATTGTCAGCCGGGGCCAGCCAAGCCGCCCACGCACCCCAGTACTCTGAGGCCTGTGGCGGTGGTGAACAGCAGCGTCTGGTGACCTGCCCAGAGCAGGGAGCAATGGCTTGGTGGCGCCTGGTCAGTCCTGGGTTGGGCGAAGCAGCTATTGAGTGTGGCTGAGAGCCAGGCTGTCTCTGGCCGAAGCACGTGCAGCAGTGACTGGACGAGGTCCTGCCCTACTGGTGCTCACAGCCTCCCAGGGAGAAAGAGACAAGGAAAGGGCACGTGTGCTGTGGTGTCAGGGAAGGCCTTCCCAGGAGGGGCCTGGTGAGGAGTCAGTGATGCCAAGGACAGGGATCAAGGGGACAGCAGGTGTGAAGTCTGAGGCGGGAATGATGAACTTGGGGTGATCAGGGAGCCCAGCAAAGGCCAGCAACAGAAAAGGAGCCTCAGGTGGGCAGGACACCTTCTGCCAGGCCTCTTTGGAACGAATGGGTTCAAAAATCTCAGCTGTGGGCCCTGAGCCGGGCCCTGGAGTCAGCTGGGCCAGGGTTTGAGTCTTTGTCCCACTGGCTGCTGAGTGACTCTGGGCAGGTTGCTTTGCCTTGCTGGGTCACTGTTTTCTCATCTGTAAAATGGGGACAGCTTGGGAGAAGAGGGTCAGGAAGATTAAATGAAGTAATGTGACAAAGCACAGGGCCGGGCACAGCCTTGGCGGGCACAGCAGGACACTGGCACAGATTTGGCACATGTTCAGGGCTTTCAGACCCGCACCTGATAACAACGGAGCCTGGCGGGCTGGGCCCCGGCTGTGAAACCTGTCTCCTCCACTCCTGCCTGTGGGCTGAACAGGTCCTCTGCCCCATCCCTCGGGCACAGTGGTGTCTCGCCCACGTCTCTGCCCGCTGCTGCATCATCAGGGCTCCATCTGGGGCTCTGCCCAGGCCTTTCACTCATGTCCCGTGCGAGGGGCTCGCTGCCCGGCAGCCTCGAGGGCTGTCCCCACTGTTCTCATACCCCTCCCCGCTGACAGGAACTGATCCCATAGTGCGAGTGGGGTTTGAGCACCGAGTGGGCTCTAGGCATGGGACCAGGCCCTCCAAGGAGGCAATGAGGGCGGCGGGGCTGGGAGCAAGGGCAGGCCAGTCAGGCACAGGGCGCAGGGATGGCTTCCCAGAGGAGGCATCACCCTGCCCTGCCTACCCTCAGCACCCACCCAGCGAGCATCTCAGAGTGCTCCTGTGAGCCACCTGAGCTGGGTGCTGGCACCATCTCTCTTGCCGTCAGGGCTATAGGGCTGGCCACAGGGAGCGGGGTGGTTACAATCTAGGTGGTGAGGACCAGATGGGGCAGAGAACAGGAACTGAGGCACCTGGAGGCCTGGAACCAAGGACGGATGGCCCAGCATGCTCTGGGCTTTCGAGGTCTTCCTGGGGTGGGTGTGAGTGGGCTGCAGGGAGTGGCGTGGGGCTGCTTAGATGGCTAACCTGGGCGCTGTCCTCAGTGAGGAGTTTTCAGCTGCCAGTGGAGGGGAAGTAGGAAGGTGTCTTGCACCTTGAGACCTGGAATTCCCAGGATGTTTTGCTGGCGTGTGGGACAGTGTGGCGGGTATTTGGAAAGCCTGGAAACTCCAGTGTGTGTGGTCACTGCAATGACCCAGCATGGCCGCATCCGTTTGCTGCGGAGGTGGGGTTGGCAGAGGAGGGGACTGAGACCCGAGAGGTGAAGCAGCTCATGTGAGGTCACCCCGGGCGAGCAGGATGCAGCCTGCAGATGTGCGCTTTGGAGCTCTGCCCGGAGCTGGGCTGGAGGAGCCTGCCTGCTGCCTCGTGCCCTCTGCGGGGCCTGGAAGATGGCCCAGGCCCAGGGCTGGCTGCTCCTGTCCTGCTCCTCCTCCCCCAGGAGGTCTGCTGGAATGAGCAGGGCCCGGGCGGCAGCTGGGGGTTGTCAGCAGCGGCAGCAGCATCAGGAGCAAGGCCAGGAGGCTGGAAAAAAGCCACTTCCCAAAATAGCTCCAATAGCCACAGGCAGGAGGGCCCAGCCAAGCCTCAGCCCTGACAAGCACAGCCTGTAGCCGGCCTCCCTCACCAGCCAGCCTGGGCTCAGCCCCTGGTTTCTGCTGATGGCCTGTAAGGTCCACTCTCTCTAGGCTTCCTGGCCCACCTGAGAAGTGGAAGACTGGCCTGGGAGATGGGACCTTGTGACCCCAAAGCTGAGGCTGAGTGCAGCCCCCGTGGCTGGAGGGGGTCAGAGAGGCCTGGCAGGACAGGTGCACTGGGACAGGGGGATGTGCTGGGAGTAGGGGGCAGAGGCCGCTGCAGGCTGGCAGGAGGCCCCTGGGACTTCAGTTCTGTGCCAGGTTCTGTCAGGGGACACCAAGGCTGAGCAAGGATGGAGATGGGGTGGCAGGGTGTCGCCCCGGGAAGGCTCTTTCACTGGCGTGTGACAGGGTCAGGGTGGACCTTTCCTCCAGAAACCTCAGCCCACCAGTGCCCATTCTCGAGTCCTGAGGGTCAGCCATGGGCAGGTGGGAGAGAGACAGCAGCAGCTGGAGACCTGCAACGCTGGTTCGGGAGGCCCTCTAGAAACGGGGGCCTCTGCATGGCAGGGAGCTGCTGGAGCCTCCTTAAGGTGGTTAGGGTGATGAGCCAGGTTCTGCATACCCCAAACCACTGGTCCTGATGCCCCTCAGAGTGGCCCCTTCCCCACCACCAGCCCCAGCACCAGGTTCCTACCACGTTTATCTATGGTCCAGCTACCTGGTACCTGCCTACCCACAGCCCCTTCCCCTCCCATAAAATCTAGTCCCATGGAGCCAGACTGTGGCGCCCGCAGCAGAAACAGATAGGCATGAAAGTGCTTTGAAGGTATATGGAATCTGGGCTGGCCGGAGGTAGAATACGTGGAATCTGGGCTGGCCGGGGGTGGTGAGGCTAGGGAAGAGGCACACACTGTCCTCCCGGGCCAGGCCCAGCTCTGGATCCAACGCTGCCCTCTGGCTTCGAGCCTTGGCCTCCATAGCCCTGCCCCTGGAAGGTGTTATGCCCCTTCGCCAGGTCGGGGGTGCTAAGGTTCAGAGAGGTTGCCCTGCAGCCTACCCGGGCCACCTCGCACATTCTACCCTCCCGCATACATCCCCCGACAAAAGGTGAGTGGGGCCCCGGAGTCTGCATGTGGCAGCTGCCGCCACTCAGCTAGGTGTATGCTGGGGACAGGGGACACCACTGAAAATCACTCATTAGGGACTGAGACCAAGAAACAGTATCAGAGGCTGAACCCCTTGGTGATGAGCGTCTGTCCCAGGACTTGGAAGCGATGGAGGGAGCGTGGCCAGGGCGGCTGCCTGTGCGTGTGTGCCCTGCTGCTCCCAACTCTACGTGCTCACCTTGTTTCACACCAACAGCCCCATCCTCAGAGGAGGACCCCGAGGCTCTGAGAGGAAGTAACTGGCCCAAGGCCACATGCCCTGGTGACACAGGCCATCCTAGGCCCCAAATGCCCACCTCTGAGCTCCAGGCCACCCTGAGCAGATGGAAGAGGGAACGGGCCCCAGCAGTGGCTTTACACAGAGAGGGCAGCCCCCCAGAGGTCACGCAGGAAAGCATGTCACTCGGCAAGCTAGCGTGAGTCCTGGCCCTGCTGTGCAGCCGCAGGGTTGGGGAGCATCAGGCATGCTTCCTGTCTGTGTCTGCAGCAGCCTGGCTGGCCCAAAGAGACCCTGGGGACCTGTGCTCTGAGCCATGGCTTCCCAGGCCTTAGTCAGAATTGCCCCTGGTGACAACCCCTTCCAAGGGGTGGGGAGCAGGGCTGTCGACTTGCTCCTGACCCACGCACTGCCACCACTGCTGTGCCATGTGACTTCAGGAACTCCCAGCCTCGCTGAATCTGTCTCCAGAAGAGAAAAGGCTGCCAGGCCTTGGCCTGCTCTGCCTGGGAATCCTTGCTGGAACCGCCCCCCATCCCTCCCCATGGGAAGACATTTGGTCCTAATCATTCTTGGTGTTTTCTTCCACTGATGGCTGGGGGTGTCCCCAGTGGCAGCTGGCAGAAGGAGGGGTGCCTGTTCTTTGTGGCTGGAAGGGGGGATTATTTGGACACAGGGAGTGCCCAGCTCCCGGCTTTCCCACTTCGGTGCCCCCAGCCCACACCTGCAGCTTGACCATGGTTTTTGGGGCCTCCCAGGGCTTCCCCTGCTGGCAAAGCCATCCTGATACACCCACCCCAGGGCAGGGACACCCAGAAGCTGGAAGGTCAGAGAGCTCCTCCTTGCCCCCCAACACCAGTAAGCCCTGCCCCACCCTCCAAGCCCTTGGGGAGAGCCCCATTACAAGTGACTATACGTGAATCTCAAGGCAGAATATTATACAAAATTAGTAGTTTCTTTCTTCCTTTAGTATTACAATTCCAAAGTGTAACGTGAAGGTCAGCACAGGCGCTGCTGTGATATAAAAGGATAGAGTCACTGGGCGCCCCCTGGCGTCCTGCAGTTGCCCAGCAGCGGTGGACGCTCAGGGGCGCACACTGGGTTTCTGTACGGCCTCCCACCTGCAAGCATTTCCCTGGGCAGGCCCAGCTGCCCAGAAGCCCGGGAACACACAGGAAGATGACATTACAGGATGGCGGGGGGGATCTGTGCAACACAAGCACGTGGCCAGAAAACTCAACCGACGATCTATCTGTCTAGCACGCTCGCCACATCAACACACTGCAGTTGAAGCCAGAACCGCCTCCAGCCAGCAGCAGTCTTGGCTGCTACCATACAGCGGTCAGCACGGTGACAGGCAGCGCCGGAGGCTACCTGGGTGAGAAGTGGCCCGCACATCACATCGGTGAGTCAGTGAGAGTCAGGGCCGGAGGGAAGAGCAACTCGGAGGCTCAGACTGGCGCAGATATACACCAGGGAGTCACACACACAACATAAGAACTTGTTATATAAAATAGATATGTGGAATGTGGAGACACCTTGAGAAAATAGCCTAAAAATATATAAACTGTAGGGAAAATATACAAAAGTATTAACAGAGAGGTTCAACCCATAAAAAAACCCATCCATTTAAAAACTGGCAATTCCCAGCAGGTGGGGAGGGAGGCCCCAGTCCTGGCATGTGCATTTGGACAGGTGGTGGAGACCGCCCTTCGGGCTTCACAGCCAGCAAGGTCCCCCTTGCAGGGACCATGGGCTGGGTGCTGGGGCAAAGGTTTGGAGGAGGAACAGCAGCATGCGGAAGCCCCTGCCAGAATGGCCCCCTGCTGTGGCAGCCAGTGGAGGCCAGGGACCTCTGGCCCCGGAGGGGACACAGCATCTCTTTTCTCAATGACATGAGGGAGGGGAAATATTAGCTCGAAAGAGTGGGGCCCACAGTTCTGGAAGGAGGAGTTAGTTCATCCTGTTCCCAAACTGGCATCAGACGGAGCCGCCCTCTCTCACCTTCTGGACACACAGAACTTCATTCCAGGGAGGAGAACCTCCAGGAAAGCGTCCCCAGTCCCTTTCCTCCAGGACATCTCCTGCTCTCGCACACGCACTGCCTGGCAGTGCTGTCAACAGCCTGGAAACACTAACATTGCACCTTGGGCTACAGCTACAACAGGCCTCCGGTCAGGCATGTCTCTCAGAGCAAAGCAGACAACACAAGCCTGTCCCTAAGGCAGCATCTTAGCCCCAGGACACAGCCGTGTGCGCTGGCATGTTCCAGGGGCCATCGGCTTGGAAAGTAAAACCTGAGGGCAGCTGGAGCTGGCTTACAGGCTCTGCCCCATTCCTGCTGCACCTCCTGAGCAGCCGCCCCCAGGCTGACAATTCCTGCTGCTCCTCCTGAGCAGCCGCCCCCCCAGGCTGACAATTCCCGCTGCTCCTCCTGAGCAGCCGCCCCCAGGCTGACAGTTGCCACTGCACGATGGGCCAGGGGGCGGGGTTCCAACACTCAATTGGAGCAGATGCAAGGCCCAGCTCACAGGACATACTCCTTCAGGAATCCGCTGTTCTCAAAGACAAAGACAATGACAAAACCCATTTCTGATGCCTGAAACAGGCAAAGGCTTTTGGCTAAACATGGAAGTCAGCCCCTCTACACAGAGAACAATTCCACTAAAGACATGGAGCCGAGGTTCTGTCTAGCATGCGGAAACGCCACCTTCGTGCAGCCGTGCTAGAGTCAACAGCAGAAAGTAACAGGAAAAAGGTGCTCCCTAAAACTGCCCTGCTTCGATTCCTAGTCCCACTGCATTCTGCCAACCAAGGGTGATTTCGGTTTTTTTCAGGTAATGTGAAACATTCCACGGAGATCGCTTCTCTCGTATTTTAATAAGACTGTGCCGGAAAACACCCTGTCACATCTGCGTATCAGGGATGGTCTAGAGGGACTGAACAGAAGTAAGCTCCTTGCTCAAAACCTTCTCCAGCCTTCAGAAAGGCAGTCCTCCGAGTTCCCAGAAACTGCCAGAGGCAACAGTGACCCTGCATCCTTGCAGAGAACAAGATGCCTCTAGGCAATGGTGGGGAGGGCCCACATCTGGGAGAGCTCCCCAAGCCTGGGCCCCAAGCGCAGGAGTTTCCCAGCCCCAGCGCTGGCAGCTGGCCTCCTGCAGAACCCAGTCAGGAGGAGCAGACACGGAAGCACTGGCCATCCCCAAGGAGGCCAAGCTTTTCAGCTGTCCAAGAGCGTTCATACTGCAGCTGCACCACTGCCCTGCAAAGCACCCTCAAAAAGATTCATCCTTCCCCTCAACCAAGGCCAGCCCAGGGAGCCCAGGGGTGGGCCTGCTTTGCAATGTGATGGTCCACCATTTACCTGGAATTGCACCTCACCATACCTGGTGAATGTGAGTCAAGAGGGCATTCCACAGAACCTCACAGAGCCATGCCAGACACAGCAAGCTGGGGACAGAGCAGCCCAGCAATGTACAAACCCAGGCTGGCCGTGAGAAGTGAGGTGGGTGTCTGGATAGCCAGGGCAAAGGCTATTCTAGAAATGGGGCATGGCTGGCAGCTTAAAGCCACCGGCAGAAGGTTCACGGGCTTTCTACAGTGGCCGTTTCTGAACAAGGGATGTGCCTGCTTTTCTACGACAGTTCATTTTCATACCAAACCTTATGCCTGAGGCAGCCACCCTCTGGCCTACAGGTGCCTGAAGCACAGTGGGCATCCTTCACAGCACTGCCATTCAAAACCACACACAACTGCCCACTGTGTGCAGGAGAGAGAACAAGGGGAGATGCCCAGCAAAGCAAGGTTTCAGAGGGTCAGGGCACTGCCAGGCTGACAGAGGCTCTTGCACACAGCACTGGTAAGCCCGACGTCCCGCCAGTAATCAGGCAGAAACATGACTGGGATACATGTAACCAGAAGCCGTGGCGTGGAGATGGCTGTAAACAGATCGGACCTCCCAGCCCTGCCCCCATGCAGTGGGAGGTGAGGAAGTGCAGTCTGGCTTTGGACATCTGCCCAGCAGATCCCAGAGGCCACACACATTACATTCTGGCTTTTAAGCGTGTTTTCGCCCTTTGGGCATACTTTGGTTTGAAGGCAGGAAGAACAGCGTCCAGGGACCCACTCAGGTGGAGAAGGTCAGGTATCTTCCTCCTCATCGCTGACCAGCTCACCCTTGTCAGGGCTGGTGTCCCGCTCACGCAGGAAGTCCTCGCGGATGGCCTCCAGCTCGGTCAGCTCCAGCCGGACCTTCTCCAAGTGGTAGGCACGTCGGTTCCGGATCTGGCGTAGGGGGAAGGGGTTCAGGTCCCCAAAGGAGATACCGATCAGCTTCCTGGCAGGGCACAGGACAGAAACAAGAGAATCAGTGGTGCCAGAGTGAGCGCTCACACACAGCCCTCACGGGCAGAGCCAGGCGGCCTGGGGTGGGGTGGAAAGAGCGCTGGCCATGCTGGGGGCTTGACGTAGGGGACTAGGCCCACCTTCTGCAGAGAGGCAACAAGGCACAGTGACCCTGCCAGGGCCCGCTCAGAACGACAGCCTGGACTCCAGCTCTGCCACGTGCTTGCTGTGTGACTAAAGTCGCCCCCTTTTCTGGCCTCAGATTCCTCATCTGCACACTGGGGATAACAGTAGTGCCACTCCCAGGGGTGGGATTACTAGAGTGCCCACATACAAGCACTGAGAAGAGCACCCGGCCTTGCATGGTGACAGCGGATGCAGGTGTGTCTGCATCCTCGGGCAGACACAAGGCCTGGCACCGGGCATGAGTCCAGGCGTCTCTGTCCCAGGACTGAGTGACTGGGCATGAACACAGGCCCAGCAGTCCTGGCGACGACTGTCAGACCCAGTCAGCAATGTGACAAGTGTCCAGATGCAGTCCACAGAGAAATGTGCAGCACGTGGGTTTCACATTCTCCCCAGGTCAAGGCACCGATCCACAATCAAAACTTTAAGGTTGTGATCACTGGCTCCTACGCACTGGTCAGTGGCTTAGTAAAACAAAACCAAAAGCCGTCCTGAGGCCAGGCTGTGGATTTGTAGCACTAATGGGTCAGCCACGCTGGTCTCCGTGGGTCACAAGAAAAGCTGGATCCTCCAACACTGGGGCTGCCTTCTTCCCCTCTCTGGATTCTGCCAGGCCCCAGACGCTTTGCATCCAGCAACAGGGGTTGACTCGCTTTCCTGTCAACCAAAGGCCCAACAGACTCACCAGCCCCAGGAAAAGCTGTGATGAAACAGAAATGTCCCAAAGGACTTCCTCCCTGTCCCCATCACAGCAGGCCATTTGCTCCCGCTGCTGTTGGCTGCCTGGGCTCCTTTACACAAGCTCGTAGCCTTTTATGTTTTAAAACACATGCTTAACTCTCAGCCAGAGGCTTCTCCCGCAGGGAGGTCAAAGGTCAGAAAGGCCAGCTTTATTTAAATTCCGAATTCCCCAGCATGTGTTCTAGAACACGGGAGCACCAGAGAACAGGGGAGGCCTGAGCACAGGGGTCCCTGCGTGGGGAGTTCCCAGGTTCCACCTCCTGCCTGGCTCTGAGGACCAGGCTGCCAGCCCCACCAGACAGAAGGCGGCTCCATGTGAACGGGGTGCAGGGCCCCCGCCACCAGCCCGTTCTCCCCCACAGCTGTCAGCCCACAGCCCTCACAAACCCCAAACCTACAGCATTCAGCCCTCCTGTGCTGCAGAACGCGAACCCCAAGTATAATTCCTCATTTGCTCCTCAGCTGACAGAGGCCCCTCGCCCCAGGCTGGCACCCGGGAAACCAGACCCCGCCTCTGCCTCAGGCCTGGAAGATTCTGCTGGAGGATGAGAAGGTGCCCCATGGTCAGCTAAATTTAGGAGATGATGTCCAGCACCTTAAAAGGTTCCCAGAAGTCCTGCTGCAGAGCCCAGTTCAATCCTGTTAGCCCCTGTCTCTTGAATGCAGTTCACTACACAACTCCCTCCCTCTGTGCAGCAGGACTGGCCTCCTTGCAAATACTAGCCTGGGGAGCTGATTAAAACACTGAGGCTCCAGCCCAGAGACGGGTCCAGGGCTCCTGCAGTCTCGATAACATCGGGGAGCCTGCCGCCATGGCCTGGCACTCCTTAAAGCACCTGTTAGTCTAGCAACCCTGCCTTCTAAAGCAAGCTGCACGGGACATGGTACCACGAGCTGGTCACAAGGCGGCGCTGCAGGACCACACAAGGCCCAGCAGTGTGGGAGGGGCCCGGTCAGCCTGCTGTGCTGGGAACAGTTGGGGCGCTCGCCAGAGCCCCCACCCACCCGCCTCCACACCTCCTGGCAGAGCCTGTGACCCAGCACAGAACTGTGGGCAGCGGTGCTCTGAACACAGCCCTAGCTGTTGGCATGGGCAAGCTCACTCTGTCACTCTCAGCAATCTTGACCCAAAGTGAGATGAACAGAAACTCTCCAGGCTCACCCCAAAACTCAGAATCAAACTTTCCCTAGCAAATATGATTCCGATAACCTTTCTCATTTGCCAGAAATCAGGGTACTGTTGTTGGTACTATTAGTAAGCCTGAAACTATTACAAACCCACTCCCCAATAAAAGATCCTAAAAATTGTGACAACCTCCAAGAAGCCTGGCATGGCCCCAGCCAGCCCCCTCAGCTCCCAGTGTCCATCTCAGCTGTCAGGGCCAGAGCAGCCAACAGCTGTGGTCCAGGGGACATATGGGTGAGGGTGGCCCAGGACAGGCAATGACCGTGTGGCCAGGGAGGGTTCCTGAACACTTGGCTGCCCAGGCCAGAAACCCAGGGGTCTTCCAAGTCAAGTTCCTCCCTCCCTCTCTTCAATCTGCCCCTCTTCTCCATCTGTGGGACCACCTCTGTCCCTAGAGCCCTCTAACAGCCACCAGTCCTGCCCCAATCTGACCTGCGCGTCTCTTGCCTAACCCTGCAGTGACTTCCCAGAACTCTGAGGATGCAGCCTCGAGTTCTAAGTGAAATCTGTAAGCGCCCTGACAGCCCAGCTCTGCTGCGGCCCAGCCACATCGGCGCCAGCCGGGCTCAGCCGCCACCACGCTTCCCCAAATACACGTGCCCCACAGCTCCGCGCTGCTCCTGAAGGACACCTGTCCCCAGACTGTCTCCTCGCTGCCCTTGCCCAATTTACTCAGCCTTTCTCCGGCCTGGGCACCCTCTACCACAGCACTGATCAAATGACGTACAACAGAGTCCCCAGCAAGGGCTTCCAGGACAGGCCTTTTTCTCCACCTGTCATCCTCAGTGCCCGGCACAGGTCCTGCCACGCAGTAGGCACTCAGTACATGTTTTCCAGACAAATGAAACGATTGCTGTTGGTTGTGGGGATTTATGTTTGTAGGATAAAGGACAGAATCCTCATCTAAATTCCTCCCTCGTAAGGCTACTTGGGGCTCACACCGCTTGCTCTTTCTTTTCCCTGGAAAGCAACACCCTCTCCCACACTATACATCCAGGATGGCTCTGAGTTTGAAGACAGCAAGGACAGACTGCTCTCAAGGAGGCAGGGGCCAGGCTTCCTGCTCTCCTTGACATCTGAGACCTCCCCAGGACTCACCTAGCATCGAGGACGGTGCGAGTGAAGGAGCGGAGATATTTGAATATGGACATCGAATCCTGCAGTTTCAAGATCTCCTCTTCCTTGTACTTAAAAAGTGCCAGGGCAAAACGGAAAATAACCTGTGGGATGAACAGGGACATCTATCAGTGGAAAAACCTATGGGTCCAAGCACAAGGCTGGACTCCAGAGCAGTGCTGGCTCCCCTGGGGACTTGGGGACATGACTTGCACAGTCCCCGCCCTGGGGACAGACACTTGGTCCAAGGGGCAATTTTCGCTGGCTAGGCCAAGACTCCTTTATGACAGGAAAACAAACTCTGGTGGTTTTCAGCAACACATCAGCCCAAACCAAAAATCTCCTTATGGAGATGTCTGTGGAATCCTTTCATTCTCAGCTAGCATTTCTGATCAATAAAGCATAACGAACAAACGTAAGAAATCATTTTAAAATAAAACCAAAACAAAGCTTTTCTGATTCTGAAACTCTTAGAAAGTCCCACCTACAGAGGCAGTTTCCATCCCAACTAGTGAGCTTCTGAAGATGGGAGAGGTTGGTTTTTTTTAATTGATTTGTGTTTGGTGCATGTTAGAGGTTAGAGGAAATGGATGCCTGGGAGTCTCGGGAGTTCAAGCAGCTTTGGAACAAACTGCTTCCCTATATCTAAGGGCCTGTGCCAGCCTGTACTTTCTCTTATTTTGTTTGCTTTCTGGCCCAGGATAGACTTGAACTCCTGGTCTCGGATGATCCTCCCGCCTCAGGCTTCCAAGTAGCTGAGACAACTGGCACAGGCCACCGTGCCCGGCTAAGATATATAATAAATGGAGAAAAGTAACTAGAAGACAAGGGGGGCCTCCAGTTCATTACATACCCCTGTTTATATGATGAGAGTTTAATATGTAAATATGTTCCTTAGTCAAAAACCAATTCTTAAACAGTATACAACAGAGCGGGTGGGAGGCTCATGGGCAGTCAGGCTCTGAAGCCCGTGCCCCTGGTCCCCTGCTGATTAGCTCTCTAGACCTCCATCTCCTCCTCCATACGATGGGCAGCACCACCAGCCGTCTGACAGATGGTGAGACTCAGGCTCAAACCACAAGCCACAGCTCCCAGCGCCTACCACGGGGCTTGGTGCGGGTTGACTGTTTCTGAAAAATGAACCAATGACTACAGTTTCCTGATACCCTGGACCCAGCTCTAGTGCACGCTGTGCTGAAATCCCCTGGGCACTGTGGTAACCCTCACAAGGTGAACCCGCCACTCTACCGCCACCAACGCTGCCAATAGTCGTCAAGCATGTGTATCTAAAACTAGCTGAGCTAAAAGAACTCACCTTTGGTCCCTCATAAAGGAAAGAGTCCCATATTTTAAAGAGGATGTCACTAACGACACTATCCACAAACACCACCAGAAACCAGTTGAAAGTGATGAGCGTGTAGTCAACTTTGTACTGTTCAAAGTGGGCATGCAACCGAGGCAGCTTCTCACTCATGAGGTCTCTGAACACCCGCTGGTCCACCTGGAGAGGGAACAAAGGGCAGAAGCGTATGGGGCCTGCCAGGACACCGGGCAAGCCGACGAGCAGATGCACAACTGGACAGCCTGGGGGTGCGGTCCACGCGACAGCAGCACAGCTGTTCCAAACGTGCTCCAGGACCCATCGCAGAGCCAGACGCCACGTTCCAGCAGCGCTGACCTCGTGCACTGCACGTACAAACTGAGTGTCTGCTCAACAGCGCGCTCTCCACAGGGAATGGGAGTGGGGCATCTGGAACCTGGAACCAACTCCTGTACTCAAAACACCTGGGAAATAGGTCGCTGCAAGGAGCAGGTGGGACAGTCGGCCTTGCCAGTCCTCACGTAGGTACAGGAGACGTTGACACAAAGGGCCACAAACTGGAATCCCGGGCAGATGGGAGTCAAGATGCTTCCTCTTGACCCAAAGAGGAAGCAGCTTCACCACGTCCATTCAACAAGCATTTGCTGGGCGGTACGTGCAGTGGGAGGGTGAGGACTCTAGAGTCACATGGACCTGAGTCTGAATCTCAGCTCTACAACTTACTAGCTGGGTGGCCTTTAGCATATTATGCTCTAAACGGCTCGTGCTTCATCTGGAAACAGTTAATAACCTTTCTTTTACCCATCGCATGACAGAAGAGCAATACCTGGTTACTGCTGCTGTCAGGCACAGGGCCCGTGCTGGGCAGAGCGCTGACTAAGGTTCAACCCTGACCTCAAAGAGTTAAAAGACGAGAGGGGAAAGCCGGACGCATGGGTCATTCCAACCACGGCCAGGCCTGGGTCACGACGTGTTCATACCGCTCTGTGGTGCCACGGACAGGTCCCGGCCAAGCCCCGAGGAGAAACCGCTCCTGTGGCCAGATCTCAGGCTTCCAGGCAAGAGGGCCAGGAGGTGAGGCGGCACAGCCTGGTGGAAGCAGGCCACAGAGGCCCCATGTCACACTGAGGAGTCAACACACCATCCTGTCAGCCAGCGGCTTTCCCAGCCTTTGTCTGTGACTCATAAAAACATTCATCTTCAGCCATCACCCAGTCCACACGAACCAGCGTGCACACGTATAAAACAGAAACCAATGTTTCACAAAACAATACTTAACCTCACACAGTAGACTACACTTTGATGCTTTTAATTCTAATCAATTGGATGCGATGGGGAAAAAAAAAAAAACCTAGTACCAACCTAGTAAGCATCCATAGTGTGAAAAACAACCACAGTTGTCCCTTGCTGTATGTGGGGATTAGTTCCAGGACCACCCCCTGCAGCACACAGCACACTCAGGTCCTGCAGTTGACATCTTGGCCCTCCGTATAAGAGGGTTTCACACATCCTGTGAATACTGTATTCTCAATCTGTGTTTGGTTGAAAAAATCCACATGTAAGTAGACCCATGCAGTTTAAACCCATGTTGTTCAAGGGTCAACTGTACGTATTTTCCCATACTTCATGCCCAGCCAGGAGCTGACTTTAAGGAGCTGTAAAGTGGCAAGGGAGACGGAGAGCTCACTGTAAGACCAGCTGATGATGACGTGATTCATTCTGCCTGGAGGATCCCACGAAAGACGTCCAAGAGGGAGGGGCGATCAGCTGGCCCTGACGTGGCAGAAGATCCTGGTACACATCTCTTCTTCCAACTAGGCGGCAGACTGTGTCTCACTCTTGAGGCTGCCTGGGTGCTTGGTGGAGGGCTGGTGTGGACCCGGCTGCCAGGGCACGCTCTGGCCTCTGTTCAAGCTCCCTCCCCCACTGAGCTCCGGAGGACATGGAATGACTGTGTCATTTATCTCTGTGTCCTTAGCGCCTCGTAAGGTCCTGGCACAGAACATGCACTCAAAGGATGGAATGAACGGAAAAGCTGACAAGCATGCAGACTGCAGGAGCAGTGCGCATGGGGCTCGGGCACTTGGTTCTGGCAGGAGGCAGTTTGACAGTGATTGGCAAAGCCCAGTGCTGGGGACTGACAGCACACACAAAGCTACCCGCATTCTACCAGCAGCCTTACACAATGCCCATTGATAAATGGGAGGGTGATTAAACACATTCTAGCACCACCTGATGGAATATTAGGCCACCAAGCAGGATGGTAGCCTACAAAGTATAAAATGACATGGGAAAATGCTCATGCTATAACGTGAACCAGTCAGGATACACTGTGCTCTCAATTTGAATGCCTATATGAACCAGGGAAGAGGAGCAAAAGGAAAGAGATCAAAATGCTAACCATGGTTCTCTCTAGCTGGTAGGATAACAGGTAATTTTCATTTTCTTTTTTTTTAAATAAAGACGAGGTTTCACCATGTTGGTCAGGCTGGTCTTGAACTCCCGACCTCAGGTGATCCGCCCGCCTTGGCCTCCAAAGTGCTTGGATTACAGGCGTGAGCCACCACGCCTGGCCTTTCATTTTCTTCTTAACATCTTTCTACATTGCCTGACTTCTCTTTAGTGAGCATCTATTACTTGTACAGTCAGGGGGGAAAAGCCTCCTTAGAATTCACATTTATGTTTATATGACAAAGTGATGCAAATTTTATGTTAAATCCAGACATTTAAAACAGGTCTTCCCCTATAACTGTATTACCAACTTTTACTCAGTTTTTACAATGTTCTGAGCATTAAACTTTTTTAATGCGTCATCTGAATTCAACCTCAAATAAGCTATGTGAGGGGAATACTACTCTCATCTTACATATGGGAAACTAAGGCACAGAGATGTTAAATGATGTGACCAAGCTACACAGCTCATAGGGTGTAGGGCCTGGGCTGTGACCTGACCACATGTGACCCTCTGCCCAATTTCCTGACCGATATGCTTGACCACACCTCAATGGAATTGAGAAAGAGCAATGCTTCATTTTTCTTATTCTGAAACACTGAGTCACTTGATATTTTGTATTTGAATCTCTGAAAGCTATTAGCTTTCAAGTGCCCATGAATTCACAAAACGTCCTTTATTGACCTCTAATCCCACCCGACTGACTACTGCCTCTTCCTGTTGCTGCTCATTTCCTACACACCAATGCAACCAAACAATACATTTCTGGGGTAATTAGCAGATAAAGTGATCACAGGGAGACCAAATGAGCTTCCCCTGGGATCCACTGATATCAGTGAAACTGGGGCAGAGACCTGAAGGGGGCAGCTGTGGCGAAAGCCACCCTCCGGGAAGGCCAGAGCTCCAACTCAGCCATCCTCCCGTGATGTTCTAGGAGGCAGTGGGCAGGGAGGGGCGAGCTTAGGCCCAGAGCTACGGAGGCCCGAGTTCAAACCCCAGCTCGGCCCATCAGGCAAGTTGCTTATTAATGTCTTCAACTCCCAGTTTTCTCCTAAGTCAAATGGGGACACTGGGCTCCACCGTGCAGGGCTCTGTGCAGACGTGCAGGGCTCTGTGCAGACATACAGCTGCTGGCACCGGGCCAGGCTCAGTAGATGCCAGTTCCCTTTCCCTGATTGCAGAGTAGCTCATGTAAGTTCAGATGTTCACTGTGTGGGGTGCCAGGAATACTAAGAGGAAGACAGGGCAGTGGCCCTCAGGTACCACTGACTCGCTGGAGGACACGCAGGCACACAGGATGATCCGGTCCGGTGGCCACTGTCCCGGAGGCCTGCGCTGGAGCAGCGGGAACAGCAGCAGGCCTGCCTTGGGGCAGGTGGCAGCACTAGAAATGGTGGTGACGGGGATACAGGAGAGGGAGGCAGGAGTCCAGGACGGCTTGAGTCTCCAGCCTGGGGAGCTGGAGAGGTGAGGAGCACAGGCAGAGGCAATAATGACCACCTTTCCCCCAAAGGCAGAAATGCAAATGCAAAGGACACCCGCTCAGGGTTCAGTCAGGAAAACGGAAGTCTCTCTAAATAGGTGTTGCTGAGGGAATGTCATCCAGGGGTTGGTCACACCAGTGACAGAAAAGCTGAGAAGCCAAACAGCTGACGGTGAGGCAGCTCAGAGTTTAGCAAGGGCAGAAAGCCACCCTGGCGGGAGAGATGAAGGGAGCAGGTGGGATCAGCTGCCGGCACAGAGGACCCACCAGACAGGAGCTGGGCACAAAGGAGACAAAGCCACCTTCAGAGGCAGTGCCTGCGATGGGCGGGGAAACCCCTTCAGCCCCTCCTGCCACCTCCAGTCTCCAGCCAGCGCCTCCTACTGGCCTGAGGGCCAGGCCTCACAACACCAGGTAGTGCAGGAGAAGGGCAAGGAGAGGCTGTGGGCAGGCAGGCCAGGCGGGGGCACAGACCTGGAGAAGAGACACGCGACAGAACGGGCACATGCGGGCACAGCTGTGGTTAAGACGGAAGGTGCCTGAGGTGCCACATGCCAAGGGCCAGCCTATGGGGAAGCCAGTGCTGGCAGCAGGCCCAGCCCAGCCCAGGGAAGACACAAAGGGCCAATGGTCTGGTGCAGGGTCAGGACTGTATCAAGCAAAGACAGAAACACTGGGCTCTCCCAGCCCATGTCACCCCTGACATCAGACTCCAGGTGTGGAAGGCATGAAATGCGCCACTCAGATCCCCCGTGGGAGGTGACTGCAGGCCCTGCCGCTGCCCCTCTGGTGCATCACCGCATCGGTCCCCGGCTGCAGGGCATGGGTGCGGCGGCGGCACGAATGCAGCCCGTCTTTGGAGGCGGGTGCCTGGCCGCCATCCTTGGTTTGACGGGGCCCCACTGGCCCCTCCCAGACTTCCTCAGGACTGCTCAGTGGCCACTGCACAGGGTCTGGGACTCTCTTCCCCATCCTTCTTCCTTCCTGGGGCTGGAGCTTCTCTGTCCCTTGTCCTCCACAGCGGTTCCCCCCAGAAGTCTCTGGTTTGTCTCATCACACCCCAGCATCTGCTTCTTGAGAGCCTGAGCTAACATACCCATCCCCAACCACGCCTAGATTATGACTCAGCCTGCCGGTGAGCCTGCGTCTGGGGAAGAAGGCGCAGAGCAATGAACACAGCGTTCGGCCTGCACGATGGGTCTGTCTGCTGGTTCCCAGGGGGCTGAATGAGCCCAACCCGGCCTTCAGTCACAAACAGCAGGCCATGACTGGGGCAAGTCTGAGACAAGCCCTGCCATCTTTAAGAATCAGTCTCTGAAGTCACGGACACAAAGCCCCCCCACCGCACCCCAACCACAGGTTTAATTCAGGTCACATTTCAGCTGCAATTCTAACATTGGCGACTGAAGCACAGAATTTTCAAAACTTACCTGTGATCCTAAAAGAGTCTTTGTGTAATAGTCTCGAGGCATGAAAACTTCCACTATGGTAACGAGACACCAGAAAGCGTCTTCTTGTTCCAGGTACAGGAGGGCCACTGCCACCAACCTACAAGCAAAGCGAGGACAAGATGAGCACCCAGGCACAGACTGCTGCCACCACAGTCTCCACAGACACCGTCTGCATTAAGCCACTTTCTCTCTCATGGCCAAAACCATTTCTAGTTCAACAATAAAGAATAATGAGGGCCTGGCTTAATGGCTCATGCCTATTATCCCAGCACTCTGGGAGGCCAAGGCAGGAAGACCATGTGAGGCCGGGAGTTCAAAAGCAGTCTGGGCAACACAGCAAGACCGCATTTCTAAAAAACGAAAACCAAAAATCAGCCAGGAGCTGTGAAGTACACCTGGTAGTCCTAGCTACCCAGGAGGCTGAGGCCGGAGGATCACCTGAGCCCGGGAGGCGGAGGCTACAGTAAGGGATGATCACACCACTGCACTCCAGCCTGGCGATAGAACAAGGCCCTGCCTCATTAGAAAAAGAAAAAAAGAAAGAAAAAAGAGCAAGTGTTCCTTTGCAAATGAGGCATTTCCTAAAATTTGAGAAGCAAAGCTACCTTCCCCCACTTTCATTTGGTTTTTGTTCAAAGATGAAATTGTTTCCTAATGATCAACCAGCCTCATTTAAAAAAAAAAAAAAGTTTCATTATAATATTTTGCGAATGCAGCTGATTGAGTTCATCATTTGAGAAGAACTCAGTTGCTATGTTGTTCATAACAGAAACTGGGGTCAGCTATTTACATGCTGTCACTCAACAAGAGGGTACTCATCAGTAGCCCTGGTATGGCTCCAAGTGGGTATCTGGAGCAGCAGCATGGAAAGGAAGAAATGAGAGAAAGGCCTCCCTCTTCTCAGCTGAAACCCAAAACCTCTGCCCATGACACGAAGCTTATGAGCAACACTCATGGGAAAACCCTTGAAGCCATTTCTTACCATTTTTTTCCTTAGATAAAACTATAATGGGCCAGGCGTGGTGGTTCATGCCTGTAATCTCAGCACTTTGGGAGGCCAAGGAGGGCAGATCATCTGAGGTCAGGAATTCAAGACCAGCCTGGCCAACATGGTGAAACCCTGTCTCTACTAAAAATACAAAAATTAGCTGGGCATGATGGTGTGTGCCTGTAATCCCAGCTACTCGGGAGGCTGAGGCAGGAGAATCACCTGAACCTGGGAGGCAGAGGTTGCAGTGAGCTGAGATCGCGCCACTGCACTCCATTCCAGCCTGGGCAACAGAGCAAGACTCCATCTCAAAAAAAAAAAGAAATCCTATAATGAACTCATCTCAAATTAAATGGAAAATGAGTAAATAAGTCCTGGATAGGTGGGAAGGAGACGTCTCAAGTAGGCAGAGATGGGACACAAAGGAAAAAGGTGACCACTGGCAGAGGCAGACGAGAGAAAAACAGCACACACAGGCACAGACACCAAATCCACAGCACTCGATGGTGCCAGGAGACAGAGCAGAGCCTTTGAGGACATCACTGAAATCACCAATACTCCAGGTGACAGGCCCGAATCACAATCATCTAGACAAGGCTACAGCTGTCCTGCTAAAGTTCTGGGTGCTCAGAAGGCATGGACACATACAAACTATTTTGAAGAAAAAGTCCCATAAAATGGTTATAAAATGGTCACAATTAAGAGGTTTTAATGGTGACAGGGCCAGTGGAAGTGTAGAGAGAAAGTTTCAATTATCTGGAAGTGTCTTTTATGTAGGAAAAAATGGATTCCATGACGACGCCAGATAAATGGGCATTACCGTACCCCAAATGGGCACACTCAGGTCCTCACCAGGACCCTTAGTTTCGGGGGTTTCCAGCTTCCAGGAATTCTCAGATTGAGTATCCAATGTGAATGGTGGATTTATGCAAAACAAAACTGTTTTACTAGGCAGGCTTTTTAAAATGGAGACTGTCTAGGAGCAGCCATAGTCCCTTTCACTTTCTGAGGGCACACAGAGGGGCTGCCCGACCCTCACTACCACAGACAATGACTTCCTGGAAACCGTTTGGTTTCAGGTTTTAACCAAATATCATTCCAGCTTAAACCCTTTCTTCCTGTAATACTCCATTTCAGACACAAATAGAAATGGAAGTCAATGCCTGGCATGGTGCAGGAGCAAAAGGGCCTGCGGGCAGCCAGGACAAAAGTCAGCACTGAGAACTCCAGCTCATGCACGGCTTACAGAATTCCTACGATACAATGCAGAGCTTTTTCATTCTTACTTTATCCGTATCTTTTTTTTTTTTTTGAGACAGGGTCTCACTCTGTCGTCCAGCCTGGAGTGTAGTGGTGTGGCTCACTGCTGCCTCATCTCCTGGGCTCAAGCAATCCTCCCACCTCAGCCTCCCAAATAGCTGGGATTAAAGGCGCATGCCACCACACCCAGCTAATTTTTTGTTTTTGTTTTTTTGAGATGGAGTCTCACTCTGTCATTCAGGCTGAAGAGTAGTAGCTGCGATATTGGCTCAGTGCAACATCTGCCCACCAGGTTCAAGCGATTCTCCTATCTCAGCTCTCGAATAACTGGGATTACAGGCATGTGCCACCACATCTGGCCAATTTTTGTATTTTTAGTAGAGACAGAGGTCTCGCCATGTTGGCCAGGGTGGTCTTGAACTCCTGACTTAGGTGATCCACCTGCCTCAGCCTCCCAAAGTGTTGGGATCACAGGCGTGACCACCACACCCAGCCAATTTTTTGTATTTTTTTTTATAGAGACGGGGTTTCACTATGTTGCCCGGGCTGGTTTCAAACTCCCGGACTCAAGTGATCCCCCCACCTTGGCCTCTCAAAGTGCTGGGATTACAGGTGTGAGCCACCAAACTCAACCTTTATCCATATTTCTAACAAGCTTGGTTACCTACTTTCATTACTCAGAGAGCGATATAAATGGACAACTGCAAGGACAGCAGTAAGCAGAAAGCGTGCCAGCCGGGTAAGGAGCAGACAGAGCCAAGTCCAGTGACGGGAGGAGCTTCGTGGGGAGCAGACCGCAGTCCTCCCGAGGCCTCATCCCATCCCTGCACAGCTCAGGAGGATGAGCCTGGATCACCAAGAAAGTGTGAGAGGCCTTTCGGCATCCTCTGCCTATGAAAGTAGGAAAGTATGCAAGATTAAAGATTCTAGTTTAAAAGGAAACAAGTTTAAGTTCATCAAGGGCTAAGTTTTAATTGGTTGAATAACAGTTTGGGGTGACTTCTTGATTCACAAAAAGATCCTGCAGACTGCATAAACAAGGGGTGACCACCAATTTCCACTCCATGTAGTTAAACTAGTAAAATCAAACTTCTGATCAAAACCCGAGTGTGATGAGAACAAACAGAAAATATGAGACTCCTATAGTTTCAAATGAATTTATCTCTGTGTTCATAATTTCTGAAAGCATGTTTGTTTCCGTCAGTTCTTCTAGAAGTGGGGATATTGTGTCGTGAAAACTGACTTGCTGCAACTGCTTTTTTCTCTCAAAATATTGAGTTTTCTTGGCCAACCAGGAAGGGAGGGAGCTGCCAGGCAGCACGGGTGCCTACAAGTTGCCTAATGGCAAATGGGAACACTTTATGCCGCACACCCACCTGTTTAGGCCTTGGCAGTACCCAATATCTGGATTCCGCCAGGAGAAGGCGAGGAGGACGTTGCGTAACTTCTGTATGCCTTCTGAGGTGGGGCAGGAGTAATGTTTGTTATTGGGCAGAGTTCGCAGCAAATCCAGCTCAATCTGCTTGGAGGCCGGGTTCTGTTTCTCCAGCGCCTTCTGCAGCAACGTCTGGAAGTGGCCAGGCCCAGTGTTGGCCTTGAACTTCCTGGTGTGACGGTCCACACACCACTTCCATACCTTGGAACGGTGCTCGTGGGGAATGCCCGCACGGATCAGGTTTTTTAATTCTGGAGAGCACATCATCTCCCTGTTCACTGTGCTCGCAAAATAGTTTTCCCACTTGACCCCAGTGGAGACTTCCTGGTTTTCTGTCAGGTAGAGGGTCTTCAGGTCCAATGCACGGACCTTGGCAACCAACTTCTCTTCCTCATCATCCTCAGGTACAGTCCTGAACCCATAAATATCATATTCACTGTTGGTAAACACAAAAGGAAAAATTAAAATGACAAAGGTTTAGCAACAAAGACCAACGCAATAGAAATAGCCTAGAAGCCAATCCACGCACACATGGTACACTGCACTATGAGAAAGCATTTCAAAGCAGTAAGGAAATAATCGACTTCTGAGTATATAAAGCTAGGACGACTGGCTATCTATAACGAAAAATTAAATTAGATCTCTTCTTGTTACTATTTTCATATTTCAGTTTAAAACTGAAAATATGAAAAGCATGGAAGAAAACGCAGTCAACAGCACAAAAACAAGATTGATAAATTTGGCTACATTAATGTGTGTGTATGTTTCTTTATCATATATATGCTACATATGTGTAACTTTATGCTTTAAAATATCATTTCAAAGGGTAAAAAAAACAAGGAAGAATGTATTTATAAGCTATTAGGGATAAAGATGTTCACGTCCCAGGTCCTGGAACCTATGACTCTGTTACGTTACATGGTAATAGGAATGTTATTAATGGAATGTTAATGCAGTTAAGACTACAGAATTTAAAACAAGAAGATTATCTGGGATATCTGGTATGCCTGAATACGAAGTCAGTCAGAAACCTCAGGCAGGAGAGATGGGACGCATGAGAGGGGCTGGACCTGATCTACTGCCCCAAAGATGGGAAAAGGGGCCACAGGCCAGAGAATGCAGGGGGCTCTAGAAGCCGCCAACCACATCTGACAGCCAGCAAGGAAACAGGGACCAAGTCCCATGACCAACTGCAAGAAACTATATTCTGCCAACAACTGAAATGAACAAGGAAATTAACTATCCCAGAACCTCCAGAAAGAAAAGCAGCCTCTAATTAAACCTGTATTTTAATCCAGTGAGACCCATGTTGGGCTACCGACCTACAGAACTATGAGGCAATAAATTTGTGTTGTTTTAAGCCATTATGTTAATGATAATTTGTTGTACCATTAAAAGAAAACTACAAAGGCCTTTCACACACTGCTGCTGAGTGTCAATTACTTTGGAACTCAGATGTAGCAGAGATAAAGGTATGTATTTTCTATACACCAGGAATTCCACTTCTAGCCTGCACCCTAGAGGAACTCTCTCATGTGGGCACAGGGGAATAGGGGCCATGACTGGTCCTTGCATCACTGTAAAAGGGAAAAATGGAAAGACACTAAAGGTCCTCCATGAGGGGAAAGAATAAAGACTCTGCAGCAGATTCACACAATGATGTTCTATGAAACAGGTAAGCGTGCTTGGTCGCGGGCGTCTGTAGGCCCGGCTACTTGGGAGGCTGATGTAGGAGAACTGCTTGAGCCCAGGAGTTTGAGGCCAGCCAGGGCAACAGAGTGAGACCCCATCTCTTAAAAAAGATAGCTCAGGGGCAACTTGTATCAACATGGATCATTTCAGAAAATAATGTTGAAGGAAGTTAAGTTTCAAAATGACATGTATCTGGGATTGGTATGTGAAAAGGTATCATCAGTCAGGAATACACACTGAAGTGATTACAGGTAGAATGACGTGACATCTGACATTTGCTTTAAAATATTCCAGAAAAAAACTGTGGAGAGTCAGGAGGTAAGATGAAACAATATTGGCAAAACATTAATAATTGCTCCAGTTAGTTGCACACAGGGGGATATGTTACATGATTCTGTCTACTTCTTTGTATATTTTAAATTTTTCATAGGAAAAACTTGAAAATAAACCAATATACATGGTTATTCTACTTATACATAAAATCTGAACATACGACATAAATAGTAAGAGCACGGAACGCTTTTACACAAGAACACCACACAACACCTTCCGAAGTGCTCCAAGGGCTTGCAGGGGTTAACAGCCACCACGACGAGCAAAGCCCAATGCCCAGCATACAGGGGGCGCTTCTGCACCTGGGAACCCAACTATCCAGGCTGAGGGCCTGTCCTCGCCACTCACACGCTGAGTGACTCTGGGCAAGTTCTATCACCTCCAAACCCAGCTTCCTCACTTGTAAAGTGAGCATAAAATCACCCACCTCACTGAGTATTAAGTAAAACCCTGCACATAAAACACTTGGCACAGTTCCTGGCACATGGCAGACCTCCATAACAGAGTTCAGAAACGATGGTGTCGGGCACTTGCTGAGCCTGTTTCTAACTGTCATCTGAGTAGCCCAAACAATGCAGGCAGGTGCTGTGTGTGTGCGTGCGTGCGTGCGTGCGTGCGTGTGTGTGTGTGTGTGTGTATAAGCTCAGTTCTTCATTTAGGGGCCCCCTATTGAGCCACCTGTGGGTAGGGCTATGTTTTAGGAGAAGGTTCCTATTCCTTGGAGACTGGCTCCTTCTAGAGAAAGGAAGGATCAGAAGGAAGGTTCTCTCACTTACATGAGAAATAGATCTTGCAATTAGAAGACTTGTGGTGAGTCCCAGCTCTATGACTTGATTTCTATGGGAGAATGAAGACATTATCTGTTCTGCTGACCTGACAGCATTTGTTGTGAGCACCAAATGAGACGCACAGTTGTGTACTGCTCTCTGTGAGAAAGGGACTTCAGAAATGGGATGCACTATCCCCAACGGTCACTAGCACCTTTACCTGACAAGATGAGGTTTCACAAATGCTTGCTCTGGCTGTTCTTGGCTCTCAACCTGCAGTGCGTCCTCCAGCAACTGGGCTATGACCTCCCGGGTGGGTCCCTGGTCTTCTGAGCATACTGGTGTCTTCATTTCTTGGAGCAATATCAGGTATTTACTTTCTATCTGGCAGAGCTTGGCTTCCAGGCTAGAATACTGCAGAGAATGTGGTGGTTATCTCAATCAAGACAGAGAAACAGGAAGAGCAATCTTTACGCACTCAACCACTCAATGACAAACCTAAAACTACTAGGGAGTGAGCCAGAGACAGACTGTATCAAAGACAATACATTAATTTATATCACAGACCACCTGTCATGTTTAAAATGGCCTGCAGTGGGTGCCTCTCTTCCTTGTGGAAGGGGTGCTGGTTATCAGACCTCATGATGCCAACAAATGCATCACCTGTGGACAGAGGTGGAGAGAGCAGCAGAAACCAGGCTACAGGCTACATGCCGATTACTGAGGTCCAGCTCGGTGCCATTTGGCAGATGGCCCGTGGGTGGCCACTCCATGCTATACCCATTCTGTCTTAGTACTCTGTGATACAGGACTAGCTCCCATCTGCTACCTTATCAGACAAATCAAATATACCCTGGAAAACATCCAGGAATAAGGTCTGGGAAGATGCTTCAAGCTCTGTTCAAAAAAGTGTGTCAGGTATATAACAGCTGTTGACAAGTGTCATTTGATTACAGCTGAAATGTTCATGATCCCATTACACTTTGTGCAAAGCCCTTTCCAGCCATAATCATACGTGACTTTCACACGAACCCTATTGGGTTCACCGAGGAGGCACTAACCTCACCATCTCCATAGATACAAAACTGAACAGCATAAATCAAAACCCAAAGTACCTTAATTTAGGGGACCTTGTAAATATATACTTTGTTTTCTTCAAAATCCATTAAAAATGCTTATGAACAAAGGTAACAGACAAAGAAAGCAATATCTTATGTTTTTTTTATTAACTAGAGAAACTGAACATATTTTCTGTAGATTCTCATTCCTACTTACCCAGTTTATGTCAAAAAGCCACATCTCAGGGCATTTATCTTTGTCTTCATCAGAGATAAAATGAGACTACATAGCTCTGTGTATTGTATATATTTCAAATATATTTTGGTATCAGCAACCACATCTCTCTGAGCCTGAGATTTGAACTGGTTTGTAAAGCATGCTTGTTTTTAATGGTTTCCTTACCTTACTTCCCCCAGGTAACAGAATCCATCTATCCTGACTCACCTTCGCCATGAGATCTCTCTCTCTCCTTTCTGCATTTCTTCGTAGAGCTGAGAGTTCCAAAATCTCCTTATTTAGAAATTTGTTTTGGGTTTTGTACCCTTGTAGATTATCCTGTTAGAAAAAAAAAAAAATCCCTGAATTCACATCGGTTGAATATTGACCAATTAATTACCCTATGTAGTCAGCATCTTGCTGCCTCACCAATCAAATAGCCTTGCTAAGTTAGAGTAAGTTCTAAAGAACTAGAAGTTGTTAACAGGCACTTTCTGATTAATCTTTTTGGCAGCAGAAGGCCGGCTGGCATAACTGGTGCAATGGAGATGGGGAAAATACTTATTTAATGGTGGTAGTTTTTCTCAACTGATGATAGGAGAAATAAACAGGATTTGCTTCCCATATGCATGCAAATATTTTATCTATCCATATTCCATATTTATTGAGGTGGTAAAAATAAAAGCAATACCTTACATTTTTTTAAACTAGAGAAACTGAACATATTTTCTGTAGGTTATAATCATCACATCGATTTTATGTAAAAAAAAAAGGCTACACGCTTATACAAAAGCCTTTAACTAAAAATCACTTTTAATAACAAATCCTACAACCTGCAATGAGTTAGGCGCATAAGAGAACAAATGTTCTTCAACAGTGAAAAATTTCAAACTTACAGAAAAGTTGAAAGAAAAGTACAACGGACACAATATAGCCTTCCCCTAAATTGGCCACTTGCTAACCTTTGCCTATTTGCTTTCCGTCTCTAAAAGAACGGAACAAGCTGGTGAGGAGTTCTGCCGAGTCCGACTTGAGGGCAGGTCGGGCCGGGGCAGATGTCAGGTTGGCTTCAGGCCTTGAAACTACAAGCAAGAAAACTGAAAGGAGCCAACAGCAAGAGAAAGCAAAGCAGCAAGGGGGCGAGGCATTTTCATGTAAAACACTGAAACTAAAGCTCCGGAAACTTCCTCTGACTCTCCTAATAATAAAAACAATGAACTGAAGAAGCTGCTAAGGATACTAATCAGAATCACCTCTGAGGCAGTGACTTCCAAACGTTCTTTACAAATGCAGTCTTTTATAAATGTGCCCCCTTTCCCCTCCCTGCTTCTAATTATTTTTCTTTTATAATGTGACAGGCTGGTATGTGAGGTTCCTGATCTCCCAATCCTAGAAGAAATTATGTTGGAGACAGTTCAAAGGGCAGGCCAGGGTAGTCAAGACAGACTCCTGTGATGCCTCAGGCAGGAGACTGCTGCCACTCCCCAGAGACGCAGCTACAGAAATTCCCCATGGCCAAACAAGAAACTACCACAGGATTATACTGCTCCCCCATAAAATGCAGAAGAACTGAAAATAATTCAACAGACCCTTTAATCACTAACATTTATGGAGCACTTGCGACGGCTTACAGGTGCCCTGTGGTAGGCACGTGGGATTCCTAATCTTGTTTAAAACTCACAACTCTTAGGCAGTCATTCTCACCATCTTTATTTTTGAGGTGAAGAACTGAGCCATAGAAGGCTACCCAATTACTGTCTAGGCTGCAAATCAGACTTCTGAGAGCCAGGCCAGTGGGCTCTTAGCTCCATGGTCTCAGGTCCCTGACTCCCGTTAGAATGTTTACAGGCATCATACTCAGCCTCAGCAAGACCACATAATGACAAGTACTTGAAATGAATGTTGGACTTCCTTTCTTTTTTTTTAGAAACAAGGTTGGCGGGGCATGGTGACTCATGCCTGTAATAACAGCACTTTAGGAGGTCAAGGCAGGAGGATTACTTGAGGACAGGAGTTTCTGAGACCAGCCTGGCTAACATGGTGAAACCCCATCTCTACGACAAATACAAAACATTAGCCAGGCATCGTAGTGTACGCCTGTAGTCCCAGCTACCCTTCCTGAGGCATGAGAATCACTTGCAGTGAGCCAAGATCATGCCACTGCACTCCAACCTTGGTGATGCAGTGAGACTTTGTATTGAGACAGAGAGAGACAGGGAGAGACTCCGTCTGTTGCCCAGGCTAGAGTGCAGTAGCATGGTCATAGCTCACTGCAGCCTTGAACTCCTGGGCATAAGTGATCCTCCCACCTCAGCCTTCTGGGTAGCTAGGACCACAGGCATGGCCACCACACTCAGCTAATTTTTCTGTAGACATGGGGACTCACTATGTTGGCCAGGCTAGTCTCAAACTCTTGGCCTTAAGTGATCCTCTTGCCTCAGCCTCCCAAAGCACTGGGATTACAGGTGTGAGCTACTGCACCTGGCCAAAGGTCTCATATTTGGAAACATTAAGCAAACACATTACTCAAAGGCAGGGCAGCCAAAGGAAGGCGGGCTGGAGGGCAACTGAAAACACTCAACAGTGACGGACAGAGACTGAGTGACACAAAGTGGGTCATGGAAGCAAGTAACATCAGCTGCCACGTCTGTCTTTAACTTAAAATTTGTGTCACAGTCTCAGTCAGTCCTGATTATTTATACTATGGACACTTTCTCTAGAATGATGATGACGACCACAGCAATAACAACACCCAACAGTGAAGACCCCATGAGGAGCCAGCCACTGCGTGAGGGAGGGCGCTATGTGGATTACCGCCTGTAACCCTTACAATACCTATAAGGAAAATAAGCACTGCTCCACAGATAAACACACTGAGGCAGAGATATGCAGTCACCTGCCCAAGTCAGAGGTGCTACATGGCGATCTGGGTTTGAATCCAACCAGGGCTGGCTCCAGGGGCCATGCTCAATGTAAAGCGTCACCCCATCTGTTTCACATCCCCTTCCGTCCTGGTGCATGCTCCAGCTGTCATTCTGCTTTTCTGTCTGTGCCTCTAAATCAAACTGTGGGGCCCAGGACTGCAGTGCCTGTGTACCCCTGCAGAGTAAAAGGCTGGGCACACAGCTGGCTGGATAAATAGATGAGCTGAAGAAGTGCAGGCATGGAGGCACTCATGGAACAGCAAACTCAGGAAGAAAGACAAGGATGAACATAACCAAAGGATGGACAATCCTGAAGTCGCTAATGACAGCAACATGGAAGTGCTGGGGCCATATGCTGAACGGAACAAGAAGGAAGTCCATCTACTTCAACAACAAAAGAATTACAGGAACATAGAAAAGGACTGGAAGGAAACGTGGAAAAATAATGCCTTAAATCACTAGGGTGGCAAAATCCTGGGAGCAATGTTTATTCCTGCCTCAGAAAACTATAGGAACAAAAAGTAACCATGCACTAGACCACACCAAGAAAAGTTAGCAAATCCCAATGGCGGAAATCTTTACAGGCCACACCCACTGACAATAAAGCATGAAAACTGGTCAAGAACAGCAATAACAAAAAAGATATATAAACATATCTTTAAAAATACACAAAAATATACTTTAAATAAATATACCTTAAATATACATATTTTTTCTAGCTAGACATTTTAAATTTGGAATCAGAAGAACGAATCAATATTTCGTCCTCATCCGCATCCTGTCTAGAGCTGAAGGGCTATGAGAGAACACACTGGAGAACACCCACTTCTGTCAAAGTGCTCCCTCTTTCTCCCTGGAGCATTTCCAGTTCTCCCAGTGCCACGGCAGAGGAGCCCTGCATGAGGTGTGAACACCTTCTGCACCGCAGAGGGACTCTCAGCACTGGCAATAGCACGGCAGTGTCAGAAAGCATGAGGCCACGGACCCAGGCCGGCCTCAACTGTCTCCCTGGAATCCACCCAACCACGGCTTTGCCGCTTCCTCAGCTGCTTCATCAGCTGTCGCCACTTAACCTCAAAGTTGTGATGTCTTGCAGCCACAGGCTTGTTAAGTTGTTAAAAAAAACTGTTAAACTTGTTAAATTGAGGAATGTTGGAGAAACAAAACTTCATGTAGATTCAAAACCACTCCACCCATTATGCTGCAAATGAAGAGGAGAAGGGAAGGGAATGTCCTGTTCTGATTGGCGTCAGGCCTCCTATGCTGACTGTATCCTGATCAGCTCGGTTGGCTGTCTCCAGAAGGAGCTGCACAGTCTCAACAGCCAGCAGGCACTCCACACCCACCCCAGCTCACTCCCCGGGAAAACCTGCTCCACACGCCTCCCCACTGCTGAGTGCCACGCATGCCCTGGAAACCCACCACTATAGTTTTGTTCTATACACTACAGAAATCGACACACTTGCAAAATAAGAACTTCAGCTGCTGGCTGGGCGGGATCTCAAGCCTGTAATCTCAGCATTCTGAAGCCAAGGCAGGTGGATCACTTGAGCTCAGGAGTTCAAGACCAGTCTGGGCAACACAGCAAAACTCTGTCTCTGCTAAAAATACAAAAATTAGCCAGTTTTGGTAACGTGAGCCTCTAGTCCCAGCAACTCAGGAGGCTGAGGCTAAAGGATTTCTTGAGTGGGGGAGGTTAAGTCTGCAGAGAGCTGGGATTGAACCACTCCATTCCAGTCTGGGCAACAGAGCAAGACCCTGTCTCAAAAAAATAAATAAATAAGTACATGAAAATAAAAATTTCTGCCCTCATTAAGTAATCGCAAAATGTGTATTATTGATGGGTATATATTTACGGTCACGTATATTCAATGTTGTATACATTAAAAAAAAAAAAAACAGCTTCTACTGGCAACACTAACCAAGACCTCTTATTTTTTTTTAAAAAAAAAAAAAAGGTATTTTTTTTTCTCGCAATGAGGTCTTGCTTTGTCATCCAGGCTGGAGTGTAGTGGTAGGATCTCGACTCACTGTAGCCTTGCTCCACTCTCCAGGGCTCAAGCAATCAGCCTCTTGAGTAGCTGGGACTACAAGTACAGGCCACCATCCCTGGCTTTTTTTTTTTTTTTTGTAGAGATAGGGGTTTCACCATGTTGCCTACTCTGATCTCAAACTCCTGGGCTCAAGCAATGTGCCCACCACGGTCACCCAAAGTGCTGTTATCACAGGCATGAGCCACCACGCTTGGCCAGCCATTTTTTTTAAACAGTAGGCGTCTAAGCATCAAGTACTGAGACCAGAGGTTCTATTGTTGTTTTAGATTTTCACATTCATAAATCCTCTGGCCTCACATATCCAATGGGTATTGTCAATGAGAAGTGGTCGCTATGGGGACCATGTACCTACTCCAGCCATGCTGCCACGATTCGTGTTTTTACTTCTGTTTTGGAATTATCTTCAGAGTCCCTGGCATGCCCATCATTCTCTCACTCAATGCATTGACAATGCCTGAAAGTACTGCTAAGCATGAAGCAAATGCTCAGTAACAACCTGGACAGCAGCAAACCTCTGTCCTCCAAGGACATGCTCCATCTGGAGCCAAACACCCTTGGAGACACATTATTTGCAAGAAGAAGGGGGCCAGGTAAGGGACGCCTTGGGGCTAGGTGAGACCAGTAGCTACAGACACATCTGGGGTCGGCTGGGGTCAATGGGCCATACTTGATACCCCATGTCCTGGGGGCCACTTGTCCATCTGAAACCTCTCCAACAGAGTCTCAAGAGCTGGTGGCAGCAAGAATGTCATGATCCTCCCTGTGGCTTCCCCTCTGGACCAGCAGGCTTCTCTACCAGCAAGAAGAGAAATGCAGGCTGCCACCCCCCCACAAGTGCTGTGTGTTCCTCCCACCGCATCAGCTGGTCACCACGCCAGGCATGACTAGGAGAGTCACTTCTGTTCAGGAAACAGCCTCCCACCTTGAGGGCTATCCCAGAGAGGGACGCTTCCTTCTAAGTGTCAGGACCCTCCCACCCTGGGTGTTGGGGGCACTGACTCTGAAGAGGCCCCCTCTTCCCAGGCCTGCTTGGAAGCTGGAGTCTGCTTCCCCAGCTAACCCTATAACAGCTGCTGGGAACAATGCCCCAAACCAGGCACCCACTAGGTTCTGCAGCAAGCTATACAAATTAAGTTTGTGTGTGCTTTCATGTACACAGGAGGGGCAAGAAACAGCCACCATATGTTACACAGGATAATGAAGTCCTCAGGGTGGTATACACAGAAAGAAAAGTCTCAGTTGCCCGAAAGCAAGTGAGGGGAAAGATTTGAAACTGCTCCAAGCAGCAGCAAGGGTTTCCTTTCCAAGGAAGCTCCACAGAAAATTAACGATTATTTGATGTTAAGTCCTATTACACTTGTGGGGAAAAAAAAGGGTGTGAAACTGTTCTGCCATCACACCAATCAGCTCAGGGGCCTGGCCTCTAGGGTGACATTGGTGGTCTCTCATGCCAATTACCAGAAACCCTGCCCTGCTCTTACTTTCAGCCTGTCCAGTTCCAGCTGGTCCCTGCCAACAGGCGCAGTGGAAGGGGAGCCGGGTGCCATGGTCAGAGGCCCGCTGCCATCGCCCTCGCTGAGCTTGATGATGACCTCATCCTTGGCTTGGATGGTCTCCATCAGCATCCCCAGCTGCTCGTTGAGCTCGCCCACTTTGCTCTTCAGCGTCCTCACTTCCTGCTGAAGACTCTCCTTCTCCAGGTTGAACCTCTCCAGCTGGCTGGTGAGGCCCAGAATCTGATCATCCTTTTGGTACAGAAGCTCAAGCGTGTCCTTTGGGACCCCGTCGCAGAGCCGGCTGCTAGTGAAATACTTGTCATACTGGGATGACCGGACTGTCTGCTGGAGCAGCCGAACAAGCTCCTGGGAGCCGAAAGGAGAACGGAGTTAAGGTGAGGAGAGCGAGGAGAGGAGGAAAAGCACAAATCATGACATGGAGCAATTGTCAGAATTTGAGGAAATGTAGAAACTTTACTGGAAACATTTTAATACTGAACTTCCTCTTGAAGGATCTCAAAAATAGAAAAAAAATATTTATTTCATAAAGACTGTCTGTAGAGAACAGTAATAGGAAACAGGAAATAATGGACTTGCCCACTGTAATTAGTTAGCAATGGTGTCCAGTAAATGTTCATGGGTATTAAAAAATCTGTGCTCTGAGAGGTCACTGGACTGCTGAACAGTTAAGTGTAATTAGAACTGATCAGCTCAGGAAACTGTTGTTGATGCAGAAAGTCTTCTTAACGACTGTTAAAGAAATCTGGGCTGAAACTATGTTTAGGGAGATTCAGTCTTGGGGCAGGACTGGCTGGAGGTGCAGACAGCAACCTCCCAAGTCCTCCTTTCTTCACCCTCCTACAAATATAAACACCTCTGAACCAATGATCAAGCACAGCAGCCACGCCTAGGATGACGGCCCCGGCAGTATGAAACCTCCAGGGAAAAGCAACTTTTGGGAAACAAAGCTGTCCCTGGAAAGATTCAGGGAAACACAGATTGGGCTTCACTCCTCCCGCCCTTGGCCTGCTGATGTGGGGTAAGACAGAAGCCAGAAGAAGAAGTTACCTTCTGACTGGATAGGTCTTTCTTTAACCGTTCCAGCTCTTCCTGCTGGCTCTGGGCCTGCAGTTGCATTTCGGAGGCTGGCTTCCTGACGCTGATGCTGCCACTGCCACTGGCTGGTGTGCCTTCACTTGAAGGATCACCACTGCTGTGACGATTTCTGTACGACCCAATTATGTCTTTCAGAGGGCGCTTTCCTTTGTAAGGGTTACGTCCAAAATCAAAGGGGAACCCTGAGCCAGCTACTCCTACACAAAAAGAAAACTTGTGTTTTAAATACAAGCCACATCTTCCTTTTGGAAACTATAACAAAATAAAGCACCTTCACAAATCATCCTCAAAGGAGTTTGGCATTCCCCACTTTGAGAACCCGAGGAGACTGATGACTCTGCCCCCACCACATTCTAGATAGTAACCAACATGCTTCAGCCAAAGATGACTCATTCCCCCCACTGGCTCCTTCCTTGGAAGACTCTATCGGAGGATCACTTTTAATGGAAAACGAAGACATACTAAGCACCCTTGGCTTCCCATTTTTGTGAGAACTAGGTATAAGGTGGAATTTCAAAATTATTTATTATTTCATGTTTAAAACATCAATATTCTCTTAATGAATTAATCTACGATTGTGGACGGGCACAGAGGCTCATTCCTGTAATCCAAGTACTTTGGGAGACCGAGGTGGGTGGATCACCTGAAGTCAAGAGTTTAAGACCAGCCTGGGAAACATGGTGAAACCCTATCTTTCCTAAAAATACAAAAATTAGCTGGGCATGGTGCCACGTGCCTGTAATCCCAGCTACTCAGGAGGCTGAGGCAGGAGAATCACTTGAACCCGGGAGGTGGAAGTTGCAGTGAGCTGAGACTGCGCCACTGCACTGCAGCCTGGGTGACAGAGCAAGACTCCGTCTCAAAAATAAATAAATAAATAAATCTAGGATCATAAATGACTGTTAAAAGCATCTGGTAAAAGGCTGACGGAGAAGGTTATGAATGGATCAGAATTGACAACCCTAAGCCTTGATCATCTTAATATGATAAGAGAGAAACCAGACACGATGTGGCTTCAGATGCCATGCAATAGGAAGCACGCAGCACCTCCCCACCAAAACGCCATTCCTGTCCAACCAGAAGTCAACCCTGAATCTGGGCAGGCCTCGGCTCTGACTGCCAGTATACAGGAAAGCATGTTAAATGACCCCACAGAAATACAATCAGCAAACCCAGATGTGGGAGACTCCTCAGCATGAAGACCTGGTTTCTTCAACAAATCTGGGAAGGGAAAAAAGCCACCAAAAAGAGACCTAAGAAGACATCAATTAAATATAATGTGTGGGTCTTGTTTGGGTCCTCACTTGAAGAAACCAACTGTAAGCAGACATGTAGGGAACAATGAAGGAATTAAATAACATTAAGGATTTATTATAACTATAAATATAATAAATAAGTTGTGGTTCTAATTTTTTTAAAAGAGTCATTATGTCTTAGAGATACATACTAAAGCATTTGCAGATGCAATGGATCAATGTTTAAAATTTAAAATAATCCAGCTGACAGTGGGTGCAGGGAGTAGCAGGAATTTAAGAGATGGAGAGGGGAAGGCCGGGCGCGGTGGCTCACGCCTGTAATCCCAGCACTTTGGGAGACCGAGGCGGGTGGATCACGAAGTCAAGAGATCGAGACCATCCTGGTCAACATGGTGAAACCCCGTCTCTACTAAAATTACAAAAAATCAGCTGGGCATGGTGGCGCGTGCCTGTAATCCCAGCTACTCAGGAGGCTGAGG